CTTCAGCCACTCCTCGGAAGGAAGGTTGGGCAATCCTACTTCCGTAGTGATACTGCCTCGGAAACCCAAGGAGGGGTCGCTATGAGTCGGGCCGACTCGACGGCACATAACAACAACAATCTTCAGTAATTCTATGATCTAGCTGTGATCCACAACCATTGTCTTATACCTCAGGCATTCTGTACTGACTTCCTACAACTCAAAAAATCAATTCATGGAGAACTTTTAAATTTCACAAGGCACAAACTGAAGATCTGTCCTATGTTTGCTATAATTTAAAAAAAAAAAAAAAAAAAACTTACACTGCCACTTTTATTAACGATAAAAGATGATTAACGTCTTTCAGGGTGGAAAAAACACGCTGCTGAAAATGTTTTTATAAGAAACAGGGTAACTCTACTACACAAAACAAAAGGAAAGGAGAAGAGGATAATTAGAGAATGTAAAACCTAGTCTTCTTTTTATTTGGTAAATTTGTAGCAATTGAGAATGACATCATCATCATAGATGTATTAAAAAAAAAAAATCACTGCCATCGAGTCGGATCCGACTCATAGCAGCCCCTCCTTGGGTAGTATCACTATGGAGTTAGATTGCCCAACTTTCCCTCCAAAGAGTGGCTGGTGGGTTTGAACTGCCAGCCTTCTGGTTAGCAGTCAAATGCCTTTGGCACTACTCCACCAGAGCTCCTCATAGATCTATAACACTTAAAAAAAAGGAATGTATAGTAAGTTGATGGTTATTTTATAAAATTAGTTCCTGGCACATGGTAAGCCCTCAAAAATATTAGATGAATTAAAAATAAACAAAATCACATTTTTTGACAGCACTGTTGTTTTGGCAACTTATTTGGGTTTTTTTATTCTTATTAAGAATTAATCTTTGGGATGATGATCCATAATATGCCAGTGCTAGATTTTGTTTGATGAAACAGAACACTTATCAGACTTTGTAAAGATCACAGAGAACAGCAGTTGAATCAAACGTGTTTAATAAAAATGTGTAGAATTGCATCTTACATCAGGTAGACTTCTCTTTAGCGAGCACTGGTGGCACAGTGCTTACAGTGCTTGGCTGCTAACCAAAAGGTCAGTGGTTCAAGCTCACTAGCCACTCCAAGGGAAAAAGATGAGGCAGTCTGCTTCCGTAAACACTGCTTTGAAACACTATGGGGCAGTTCTTCTGTGTCCTTTGGGGTCGCTATGAATTGGAATCAACTGCAGTGGGTTTGGTTTGTTTGGTTATGCTTTCTTTCATGGCAGCAAACAACGCTATGACTGGCATGAAGCGTAACATGTTTACACATATACCACCAGAATTTGAAACAAAAATCAAACCTAACACTGACTTTCTAAAACACACCAACTCAAACTTCTTCAAAACAGCATAGCTAAAGGCTTGGAACTCCTTGTCATTCTTTGACCAATCTAAATTACTCTGCTTAGCTACTTCTTGAGTAAAAACTACTCAGAGTACCATAGATCATGGCAGATTTGCCACTTTGCACAAAACAAGAAAGATTTAGGGTGCTGTGCTGATCAATGAAATTTAGGAAAGTGGCAGACATTTCATTTAACCAACCTTTCAACCTCTCTTTTCTCACCACCAAAAGCAGCCACTGTTCGCACAGATGAAATCACTTCATCAGCCACACACCCTGCTTTGGCATAGGCCTTCAACTCATAATCAGTAAACTTGGACACACTCTAAAATCCAAAAGAAGAAAAGAAAATGTGACAACCAGGTAATTAGATGAGTCAGACTGTTATTCCATGATTCATTTAGTGAAATAAGCTTATAGTATAAGACTAGATTCTCCCTGTAATATCATTCACAGAAGGAAAACAATCTGGTCCGTGTGAAGTCTCATCTACAGATGTTTGGTTGTTGATAAATCAAAATGATTACGTTAAAAATCACTCTCAAAAGCCCCGCTCAGAACAAGTCTCAAATAGAACATTCAGTGAGATGAAAATGTTTCACTCATTATATTAGTGAAAGCCAAACCAGGTCACATCTCATTGATATTGGCCAAAAGCCATTGCACATTTTTTAGACAAACACCAGAAGCAGACACAGGAGGCTTCATGATTAGCAGGCTAAAATGTGCCATAGGATCAGTTTGTGTATATATGTCAGAGTATAGAATGAGGGAGAAGGTCTCAGCGTGCAAAAATCCTGATGTTCACAGGTAATTCCATAAGAGAAAGCTTCAGAATAACATGGCACCATTTGACTCAACTAACCATGGTTCTGATATTTACCAAAGGAAATTACCAGACATCTGCACTTAATAGGAAACTCAATAGTTATTTCTTCTAACATTGGACTTGGATGAGTCCTAGTTAAAACTAACTTGTGACACAGATTAAGAGACAAGGGGCTTGGGAGAAGCAATTTTTGTGGAAGATTGACTGACTTGGCAACCTAAACAATATATAGTACATAGATTTAGGGAGTTTATTATATTCCAATAGTTTTTCAAACATTTTAGTGGCAGACTTTTATCAAACAGAACCTTAAATAGAATTTAAATTTATAATGTAAGTAAAAAGCAGTTACAATACATGTATTTCACAAGTCCACATTTTATAAAATTTGTGAATGGGAAAACCAACATTAGGGAAGATGAGGCTATTTTCATCAATGTTAAATTTCGAACTTGGGTGCTATGGATGACATTGCAGTTTTTTTATCACATTCCTCATCTAATTTGTTTCTGAAATGTATGTCAACTGCCCAGTAATAAGAAAATTAAGTAGTTGCAAATTATACCACTTTTCTTTGTAACAGCAAATTACATAGTCTCAGGGTACTCGAATTAAAGTGATACAGGAGCTTGGAAGACTTGTATCAAGATTTATTCATTAAGCTTCCTGAGTAGGATGTTTATGTAACGATTGCTCATGTTTCTCATCATAAATATAACAGTCAGACAGAGGCATGCAAACCCAGGATAGCTTGTTATATGTCATGCATTGTCTCCCCTTCTCTTTTTGTCCTGGTTTTGAATTGAGCATAGAGAAATTTGGTTTTATACAAACAAACGTGCACAGACCTGAATTCAAGAACTCAGTGGAGAGCTGCAACATTCCAAATCAGTGACACATTTATAAAAAGTTGAAATATGGGCATGGAGAGGACAGAGGAAACTAAGCTCTCAATGTGCTTAAAACCACGTTAACCTGGCAGGGCAAGTTTAATATGTTTTTTGTCTCCAGTGTGATAAAATGTGGCACACGATCCATTTGAGTGTATAGCTAATTTAGCTTTGAAAAGATAGATTAAATGTATCTAAGAAAAAAGTTGAATCAAATGTTTGCTGACCCCTGAAGTCCCTTCATGGAAGCTGAGGATTCCCTCGAGTACAACTAGAAAGCATGTGGTGGGAAAGGCTGTCATAAAGCTTGCATGATGTGGTGAAATGGAAAAAAATAAACTTGGACTTCCTGGGTGACACAAACAGTTAGGCAGGAGAGTACTAACTGGAAGGTTGATGCTTCAAACCCACCCAGAGGCGTCTATAAAGAAAGGCTTTGCGATCTCCTCCTGAAAGCCACAGCCATGAAAACCCTGTGGAGCTCGTCTCTACACTGAAATACATGAGGTTGTCATGAGTTGCAACTGACTCACAGCAACTGGTAACTGGTAATATAGCTGCTAAGCAGTTAACCCTGTGCACGTAACTATGTTACGTGCTTTGCATGGATTATGCTGGGAATCATCAAAATAACTTTGGAAGGTATTATTCCTGTTCTATAGATGAGGAAAATGAAGTTTTGATGAGTTAGGTATCTTTCCAGAGATCTCACAACTTGTAATGGTGGAGGCAGGTGTTGACCTAGGTAAATGGAGTGCACTCTTTGCTATTTCTATAGTCTCGGGGAAATGTTAAAGTAATATACCTAGTGGACTGTACAGAATATTTTACTAGAAAATTTAGTCATGGAGCTTGGTTGCTCAATGATTTCAGTGTGTGAGCAGCTTTTCACTTAAATTCTATTCTCCTATCTAGCAAATTCCTACGGTGCCTGATCCAATGACCTGCCTTCTAATGGGGCTGCTCTAAAAGTAAGAAATTGTACTTTCTCAATCCTTTGGAGTTTGTTTTTGTTTTTTTTTTTTAAAGAGCTAGGTGGCCTGAAATTCTTATTCCTACTGTTCTTTTGGCCTGAATACCTGGGGAGCCAAGACTGTGATGGGGATATTGCTTACAACAGGTCAAGTAACCTTTTCTCTCTGAAGCCAATCAGACGGAATGGAGAATACAGTTGTGCTAGCAGGAATATCTTTTATGTTTTTGTTACTGATCTGAATGTGTTTTTTGTGCCTTTTTGAGGGAGAATCAGAGCTTGGGAGACCATGGAAAGTAATAGGCTTTTGGAGAGCTGGTGGGTGTTACTGATTGAATTGTGTCCCCAAACAGATATGATGAAGTTCTAATGCCTGATACCTGTGAACCTGACCTTATTTGGAAATAGAGTCTTTTAAGATGTTATCAGTTAATTTAGAATATTAGAGTGATGTCCTTATAAAAGAAGAGACACAGAGAGATAGGCAGAAGGACAGCCATATGAAGATGTATCTACAAGCCAACAGAGACAACAAAGGATCTTCCCCTAGAGATTTCAGAGGGAGCTTGGTTCAGCCAACATGTTGGACTTCTAGCCTCCAGAATATGAGGTAATACATTTCTGTTCTTGAAAGCCACCCTGTTTGTAATATTCTGTCACAGCATACCTAGAAAACTATTACAATGTGGATCGGGAGTCAGACTCACTTGAACTTGAATCCTGATTGGCAACTCACAAGCACTGCAGTCCTGGGTCACAAGTTTCTTCAACTCTCTGGCCTCAGTTTCTTATATGTAAAATGGGGCAAATGATTCCTTTATAAGACTATTGTAAGGATAAGAGATGCTGCATATGAAACTCCTAATAGTGTCTTGCAGAATAGTAGATGTAGTTGTTACAGTAAATATAGTTGTTATTGTTACTAATGAAATAATATTCAAATTATTAAAGCATCATGAATTCCTAATCTATGGAATGCTATTTGATACTGGGGAATAATCAAACAAAATAAATCAAAGTAAAGATAGTGAGCTGGACTAAAAACACTCAGGAGAAGAGACTCAAAGTTCATATTTTTGGCTATTTATCAGTGCAAATGTCTTTGCAGGAAAGAAGCAAGAAGGCATTCTTATCAGACTTGCACCAAAGCACAATTAAAAAAAAAAAAGAAAAGAAAAAAAGACATTCTTACCAGACCAATGATAGCTGTTCCAATCCCAAGGAGAGGGCTGACAGAAATAATAACCAAGGACAGTTTCCAACCCTTGTAGAATCCCATCGTTAACCCACAGATGGATGTGGTCATGTACTGAATGAAACGAGCCATTTGGTCAGCAATGGCATCATTGATTTTGTTAATATCACTAGAAACAAGAGAGGCACTGGTCACCAAAATAAAATTTGATCAATTCAAATGCCTTGCTGAGAAATCGCCATCTTTTTCTTCTAAACACTCATCTCTGTACTGCATCACCCTCAGGTAACACAAATGCTTCTCAGCTCTCAGAAAATGTGCTGCATCATGGGAGATCATCCAGCCTCTTCTCTCACAGCCAAATAAGTTTGTCTCTAACACAGCTTTCCCATGTGATACCCACTCGAAGCTGATAAAAGCTTTTAGATACCATCTTATTTGTCTCATTCTTTGTGATAGCTAATAATCTATCCTGAAAAGCCCTTCTTCTCTTAATATCTACTAAATTCTTCCTGCCTGATGGTTCTGCTCATATGACACCTAGTTCATAAAACCTTGTATAATCTCCCAGGAAGGAGAAATATCTTCTTGCCTGTGTTTTCACAGAAACATAATTATTGTGTGTGTGTATAACTATCACATTCTGATTAGAGGCTGTATAGAACAGTGGTTAGAAGCACAGACTCTGAAGCCACAGTCTCTGAATGTGAACCAACTCTTTAGGGGAAAATTTCTTAACCACTCTGTGCCTCAGTTTCCTTATCTGTAAAATTGACTCTATCTCAATGGTTAGTAACAATGATTAAATTAGCTGATATATAAGAAACCCATAGAACAGTGCCTAGCATATGGATATTACTTCTGATCATTTATCTGCTTGCTCCTCTTAGCCCTCCTAAGAGCCTATAAATTCCTTGAGAGCAGGAGCTTTGTGGTTTATCTTTATGTTTGGCACAAGGTAAGTGCTCCAGAATATAGATTGAGTATAATGACATTCAATTCATATTCCTGGGAACAGTCTCTTAATCTTTGTCCAGAGAGATCAAACAGAGATTTGAGAGCAAGAAAGGATCTAAGTGATTATTCTGGAATTAAACAATTGTAATCTAGCCAGGTTACATAATAAGGGGCATAATATGGGGCAGAGTGAGCGCTAGAATTGAAGAATCCCAACTTCAGTCTGTTTTTATCTTCACTACTCACTAATTGTTTCTCATGGGACCTCAAAGTTCAACTCAACTGGTTCTTAATACCCAAGGCTCATTCAGAACTTCTAGGGGACTGTTAATGACTCAAACTAGTATTTAGGTGTAAACTGAATGTAAATCCAGTTTTTCAGTTTGAATCTTTCTTCTCAAGCTATTTTGAATTTTTGTTTTCCTGTACTGAAGTTGCCTCTGCAGACATAGTGTGGTAGTTAAGTTTGTGTGTCACCTTGGCTGGGCCTGGTTGAGTGGCTGGGCAGCTGGATGTAGTATTCCCCACGATGAGACTCCCCATAATCAACTCCATGGTGGAATCTACTGTGAGCAGCTGAGTAGCTGCTTTAAGGATATGGGCCACTTCCTGTATATAAGGAGAAGCCTTGGGGAATGGTCTCTAGCTTATGGCATGCTTGAACCTTGCGTGTAGCCGTGTCATTGTTCAGCAACCTGCCATGCTCTGCCAGCCTTGGGGCTTTCAATGGACTTGAATTAATGGCCTGCCATGTGGTTTGGTAACATTGGGACAGTACCTTTTTACTTGTCAACCTTGGGCTTGTTGGCCTCAGCAGCCAGCAGCTGTCTGAGTTAAGAAAAGCCTTCAGCTTCAGTGGGCTGGGAGCCAGAGGCAGAGCTGAAGCCCAAGGTTGAGGGGCTTTCACCCAGCCCCTAGAGTCTGGCACTTTGAACTTGGACTTAAAGCCTCCAAACTGTAAGAGCATAAACTCCTGTTTGTTCAGGCATCCCATTTGTGGTATATTCTTGCTAGAGCAGAACTAGGTAACCAAAACACATAGCAAGATAATTAGGTCCAATTGTAGTTTTTCCTTGTAGGCATATAGATTGCAACATCCTTCACTTTCTCCTCTTAAAGCCAAATAACTCTACTTTTTTCAACTCTCTCCCACAATACATCATTTCCAGTATTCTAATCAAGAGACTGCAACCAAAGTGAAGTACTCCAGCTTTCAAATTATAGTGATCATATTTGAAAAGGCATTATTCATGCTATTCATAAAAAGTCCAATTTAAGAGATAAGATATATCAAAAATAACTGGAAAACTATTTAAAATTGTTATTTAATTTAGAAACAAGTATTTGATTATGAAAATAAATAACATATACATTAAAACATTGCTCTGCAAGTACTTACTCAGAGAATCTTGTGTTAAGCTCTCCCACTGAATTGCAGTCAAACCATCCAATTTCCATTCTCATGACTTTCCTAAAGTAAATTCTTCTCATTTTCTGCACCTGATGGGCTGCAGCAATCACCCAAAAGCATATCTGGAAATAGAGCAAGACATTTTTAGCATTACAACATTAAAAATATTCAATAATCCTTTCTTTGGTTTTCATGAGAAAATCGGGGGTTTTTTGGTTGAGAAAAGGAGAGAAGGAATTCACAACACACTTCTTCTTGGGAACTAAGGCTCTAGCTCTTGGCTAGCTCTCAGATCAACTGTGGACATGGCAGCAGGAAGGGTTGGACTCAAATCCAGCTCTCAACACTCAAGCAAACCTATGACTTTGACTTACACTTTACTTTCTTCATGTGCAATGTTAAGACTCAGAGTGCCAAAATTATCAGTGCTTTTAAATCATTATTTTGTGGAATGAATTTTTCCCGAGTGGCCTCCCTAACAGTATTGATCAATGATTTTCAGAGAAAATAAGGCAAACATTCCATTGTGCATTCCATGCATAAGCATGGAATCTGCTGGCAATCAAAGCAAAGTAAAGCAGCCATTACAACTTCCCATGAAAGGATAAGAAAAAAATACTTTATCTTTACAACTAATGCTAACTTTCTGAAATTCTTGAACAAGTGAGAGGGAATTCACTATTTTTCTTTTTTACAGAAGAAGGCAGAAAATGAAGTATTCTTCTTTTAAAAAGGGTTAAGTGACTCCCAAGTGCTTCCATGGCTTAAATCTACAATATGCTCTAGATTCAGATTTACAGATTCTGGGTTGGTGTTTGGTAAGACATTTACAATGAAAAAGAAAAAGAAAGTAAGTTTTGCTTTTCTCTACCTCTCTATCTCCACCCACCATGCTCCAAGTTACTCACTTTCCTTCCACATACACACCTCAACTATTCATTATCAAGGTTAGAAGAGAGGATGAAGTAGGGAAGGGCAAGGGAGGACACAACATTAAAACTAAGAGTGTGTTCTCTGTCTCTCTGGACCACTTCTTATATCCTCTTTCCTGCCTGAAACTGCCCAAAAAACAAATAAACAAATAATACCAGTTGCTATTAAGTTGATTCTAACTCCTGGTGACCTCATGTGTGTCAGACTAGAACTGTATTCCATAGGGTTTTCAATGGTTGATGTTTTTGGAAGTAGATTGCCAGACCTTTCCTCTGAGGCACCTGTGTAGGGACTCAAGTCCCCAAGCTTTGGACTTCTGGTAAGATGGAGGAATAGGCAGACAAGTGACACAGACCCTCTTCAACAAAGAAAAGAAAAACCAATTGACAGAGATACAGAAGATAATCCTGGAACCCTGAGCTTTGAAAGGAATTATGTAGAAGTGAATTAGGAATCAACTAGTGGAAAAATCTGAAAGAAAACAGTGAGTACAGAGATGGTCAGAGCTGCGGACTGCCAGCTACTCTGATAAGACCAACAGCCTGAATATTTCCAAGTGGTGTTGGGACCTGATAATTGACCTAAAGATCAGTCCCAGTCACCAAGGGCTGCAGGGACAACTGTTCTGGTGGCCTGTGACTAGGAAGGGAATAGCAAGGAGGGATACAACCTGAGCTGTGGACTTTCTGCTGTCTGGAGGGTGCAGCCATTTTGAGTGTATACATGTGGCAGCCATTTTGGATATTTAAAGTGACCAAGGGCGCAGCCTTTTTGAATGTTTACAAGTGGTGGCCATTTTGGATTTTAAAGTGATAGCATTCTCATTCAGATTCCAGGGACCTAAGAATAGGCTTTGTTTGCCAGGGTCGGCAAGGGCATATGAGAGGCTGACAACAGGAAAGACAGGTGATAAGAGTATAAGGACTGTCAACTAGTGAATAGAGCACAGCACTGTACCCTGTCTGTATAGATACCATATAAACAAAATAAAGTCCCCAAGCTTTGGGTTAGCAGCAAAGCGCATTAATCTTTTCTTCCCCTGAAATAAAACTATAGCTCTTAGGCCTTCTCAAAAGGTTAATTCCATTGTAATGTTTTTGAACACCAATGTTGATTTGTAAATAAAAAGGAGAAGCTACTCACTTGAATATATCCTGTGATAAATACTGATACACCGATTCCAGCATAGTAACTGGCAAATGTGATCATTTCGCTTTCAATGTTCAGCAACCTTCAAAAGAGGGAAAATTATGTTAAGACTCACAAGTAGGATGAAGCTACCAAGGATTACATTTGTGGGTACCGAAGGATTTAAAATAAATGTAAATTTAAAAATACCTATTAAATATATGTAAAGCATTTTATCTATGTAGAATTATAATGAATCCAACCAAATCCGTAAATACACTTCACAGTATCAATCACTTGAAAAATGACCACCCCTCCCCTGACCCTTTTTTTCACAGATGGAAATGCTAGAGGTCTGTGAAATAACTAGTCAGCAATCATTGGTAGCTAGGGGACCTTGGATGGCAGCCAAGTTCTCTGTCCACCACGACCCCTTTCACTCATGCTAAATATATAGTAATAGAGTAATCACAGCTAGAGAAAACTTTTAAAGATTCAGATGAGCTGTCAGAAAAGACCCTGGTAGTCAGATATGTGCTGTAAATCAGGAGATTGACTGTCACCTCCTCCAGGAATCTAAGCCAGCTTTTCACTCCTCCATCTCTGAGTGACACTGTGAAAAATGTGTGTGTCACCATCCCGTAGGGTATTGAAAAGTACTTTATTAGCCCTGTCTTTTTGCTGGCTACAGCCCATGAAGTTTCATGCTCCAGGACTATTTCTAAGGTTGAAGTCAAGACAATAGCCAGGAACATCAAGACAGCTTTTCAGCATTTTCCCAGCATAACTGTTGTGCTGCAGAGCAGGGTTGAGGCTTAGCAGGGGCTAGGAAGGAAGGAATAAAATATTCTGAAACTGTTTTTAGGAAACAGAAATTTTATAATTAGAAAAAGAGACATACTGGATTGATATCAGTTCTGACCCTCAGGGACATGATAAAATGATACAGAGCCTATTTATTTTAAAAATCAGAAGTCAGAATACTTAGCATAGATACTTTCATCCTATATACTTTCTGTTCATTATCTTCATTGAATATATTTATATAGAGTATTTTTATGTGTTTTCTCGTCAACTAAGTTGCAAGCCACTCAAGTGTAAGGGCTGTGCTTAAGCTGCTTAGTCACAGTGCCCAATGCCTGGGGCAAATCCTTCCACATAGTAGATACTCAATAATTTTTTTTTTTTTTTTTAATTCTGGTTTGGCTTTCAAAATACTAATAAGAACTGAAACATTTCCCTTGAGAATTAGAATAAGACAAGGATGCCCTTTATCACCATTCGTATTCATTATTGTACTGGAAGTCCTAGCTAGAGCAGTAAGGCAAGAAAGGGAAATAAAGGGCATTCAAATCTGCAAGGAAGAACTAAAACTACTCCTACTCACAGGTGATGATTGAATACATAGAAAATCACAGAGGCTCCACAAGAGAGTTACTGGAACTAATAGAAGACTTCAGCAAAATGGCAGAGTACAAGATCAGCATACAAAAGTCGGTTGGATTCTTCTACACTAACAAAGAGAACTCTGAAAAGAAAATCAGGAAGATAGTATCATTTAAAATAGCCCTCAGAAGGATAAAATACCTAAGAATAAATCTAACTAGGGATGTAAAGGATTTATACAGGGAAAACTGTAAAACACTACTACAAGAAACCAAGAGGCCTACATAAATGGAGAAATATACCATGCTCATGGGTAGGAAGACTTAACATTGTGAAAATGTCAATACTACATAAAGCTGTATCTACAGCTATAATGCAATCCTGATCCAAATTCCAACAATATTCTTTAATGAAATGGAAAATGAATCACCACATTATATGGAAAGAACAGGGGTCCCAGATAACTAAAGTACTATTGAGGAAGAACAACAAACAGGAAGCCTCACACTTGCAATGGCAGTCAAAACAGCCAGGTACTGGTACAACAACAGACACATAGACCAAGGAACAGAATTGAGAATCCAGAAATAAATAAATTCAGCTATGGATAGCTGATCTTTGACAAAGGATCAAAATGCATTCAATATGGAAAAGACAGTCTCTTTAACAAATGGCATTGGCAAAACTGGATGATATTCATTTGCAGAAAAATGAAATAGGTCCTATATATCACACCATACACAAAAACTAACTCAAAATACATTAAAGACCTAAATCTTAAAACCTACAACTAAATAGTACATGGAAAATATATATATAGGATTAAAGGTAGAGGCCCTAATCTACAGCATAAGTAGAATATCAAATATAAATAAAAATGTGCAAACAGCAGAATATAAGCTAGATAACTGAGATCAACTAAAAACTAAACACATATTCTCATCAAAAGATTTTACCAAAAGAGTAAAAGAGAACCTACGAGTAGGAAAAAAAAATTGACAACAACATATCTGACAAGGGTTTAATCTCTAAAATTTATAGAAAACTCTAACACCTCAATAACAAAAAGACAATCTAATTTTAAAATGGGCAAAGGACATGAACAGACACTTCAACAAAGAAGACATTTAGGCAGCTAACAAACACATTAAGAGATGCTTGCAATCATTAGCCATTGTTGCTGTTGTTAGTGCCATCAAGTTGGACCCAACTCATTAGAGAGATGCAAATCAAAACTACAATGAGAGAACATCTCACCCTGGCAATAATGGCACTAAAAAAAATCAGAAAACAACAAATGCTGGCAAGGTTGTTGGGAGATTGAAACTCTTATACACTGCTGCTAGGATTATAAAATAGCACAACCACTATGGAAAATGGTATGACACTTCCTTAAAAAGCTAGAAATAGAGATACTACATGATCTAGCAATCCCACCCATAGTTATATATCTTAAAGATATAACAGTAGTGACACAAATAAGCATATGCACACCTACATTCATTGCAGCATTATTCACAACAGCAAAAAGGTGGAAACAACTTAAGTGTCTATCAATGGATGAATGGATAAACAAATTGTAGTACATAACTACAATGCAATACTACACACCAATAAAAAATAATGGTGAATCTGCACAACATCTCAAAACATGGAGGACATAAATCTCGAGGACATTATGCTGAGTGAAATAAGTCAATCAGAAGATAAATATTATATGAGACCACCAGTATAAATAGTCAAGTCTGTTACACACAGAAAGAAGCATTATTTGATAGCTACCAGGGAAAGGAGAGGAGGGAAAGAGAATGAATCATTAACTAGATAGTAGACAAGTGTTAATTCTGGTAAAGGAAAAGGCAATACACAATATGGGAAAGTCAGCACAACGTGACCAAAGCAAAGGAAGACACTGAGAAGTTTGTGAGAATAAAGGACAACTACAGTAAATACTAGGAGCTCTGGTAGCATAGTGCTTAAGGCACTTGACTGCTAACCAGAAGGCTGATGGTTCAAACCCACCAGCCACTCCTCGGAAGGAAGACGGGGCAATCTACTTCTGTAGTGATACTGCCTCGGAAACCCAAGGAGGGGTCGCTATGAGTCAGGTCTGACTTGACAGCACATAACAACAACACAACAACAGAGTAAATACTATAACATACACAATCCCACAACAACAGTAATAACAACCAATAATTTCGGAATGAATAAATAAGTAGATATGTGTGTTAAATAGGCATGGGCGGTTGTATGGGACTACACATGCATGCTATGTATATTTATGGTTGTGGATTTGTCTACATACATACTTACATGTGCTGCATGCACATTTATATATATGATAGAGCAGATGGGGCACAGCTACAGAAACTCCTTAAACACAACCAAACACCTCACAGGACTGAGCTACTGGGCTTAAAGATTAAGACCAAAGTCTTGGGGGCCATCTAGGTCAACTGGCATAACATAGAACATAAAAACAATGTTCTACATCCTAGTTTGGTGAGTGGCATCTGGGGTCTTAAAGCTTGCAAGCCACCATCTAAGATACAACCATTGGTCTCTTCCCACCCAGAAGAAAGGAGAGTGAAGAAAACAAAGTCTCAAAGAAGCAATTAGTCCAAAGGAGTAGTAGTCCACCTAAACCACAGCCTCCTCCAGCCTGAGACCAGAAGAACTAGATGGTGCCCAGCTATCACTACTTAAGTCTTCTGAACAGGGACACAATAGAAGATCCTAATTAGAATGACAGGGAAATGTAGAACAAAATTCGAATTCATAAATTAAAGACCAGACCACCTGGTCTGATAAAGACAGGAGGAACCCCTGAGACTGTTGCTTTATGTCTCCCTTCTGATATGGAACTGAAGCCACCCCTGAAGGCCACATCTCAACCAGATAATAGACTGACTTCCGAATAAACAATAACACCATAAGGAATGTACTCCTTAGAAAATCAATTATTTGAGACCAAAAAGGCAACATTTGCCCAAAAAGAAAGATGAGAAAGCAGGAAGGGTCAAGGAAATCTGACAAATGGAAACAAGAAACCAGGGTGGAAACAGTGCACTGACACATCGCAAAGATTGCAACCAATGTCATGGAAAAATTTGGGTATGAATTATTAAACAGAAAATTAATTTGCTGTGTACACTTTCATGTAAAGTACAATAAAATGTTAAAAAAAAAAAAAAAACTCATTAGGAAGGAAAATGGTTGCCTTGCTCAATCTCTCCGACAAAATTCAAACCAGCTGAAATGTCTTATGTTCACCACACTCCCAGGCTCTCATGACAATTTAGAGAAATAGAGAACAAATAAAACCTAGAAAATTATAAACTTGTATGTATCTGCAGGAGCTCTGGTGGTACAGTGCCTAAGGCATTTGACTGCTAACCAGAAGAAGGCTGACAGTTCAAACCCACCAGCCACTCCTCAGAAGGAAGACTAGGCAATCTACTTCTGTAGAGATAATGCCTCAGAAACCCAAGGAGGGGTTGCTGTGACTGGGAATCGACTCAAAGGCAGTGAGTTTGGTTTTTTGTTTTTTTTTTTCATACACATTCTGTAATCAGAGGCTCCTATAGAAGCTTAGTATTTCTGTGTAATATACATAATGTAGTTTATAACTATAATATTCTAATGTATAAAAGCACCAATGTTCTTAGTTTTCTGCTTATGAAGTGAAATTTAACTGTCCAAAATAAAAAAAAA